AGAGAACCAACAGGTCTGTCCTCAAGAGCATGGAAACCAAGTTTCTCCTTGGAGGCAAGGATTTTGGAGATCCATATCACATACTTTAGGCATGTTGCCAAGAGTGAAATTTTCTTGGAGAAGAAAATCACTCTTGGAAGCATGGAGGTACAGCTCAAGAAAGAAAGACTCTAGATGAGATGAACTGACTTAGTGACTCGGATTATGGGGGTAAGGGAGTCGAAAACAATTTAACTGGCTCAAGACAGAGCAGGATTCAGAGTTGTGCATAGGGTTACTACGAGTTACAATTGACTCTAGGGTACTCAACAACAACTACAACATGTAGACACTAAAAGAAAGTACATTGAAATGATTATACTAACATCAAACGAAAATAACAACAAAAGTCTAACAAAAGTAGGGAAGCATTCCTGATTGTATAACAATCATTTACCAGGAAGACAAATTATAACCTAAGGAATGCAGACTGCATGAAACAAACAAACAAACAAAAAACCAATAATCAAATGGCATAAGTAAATAGAGAAATACGCATTCACATTGGTAATTACATGTAGTAACATCCCTCTCAGTAATATACTAAACTAAAAGAAAATTAGTAAACATTAAAAGGCAAAAGCAAATGGAGAAAGATATATTCAATTTTTAGTAAGAATATGTCTTTGTTATTGTTGTTAGGCACTGTTGAGTTGAGCATGATTCAAAGGGACCCTAGGAACAACACATCAGTCCTGTCCTGTGCTAACCTCACAATCTCTGGCACACTCAAATCCATTGTTGCAGTCACTGTGCAATCCGCTTTGTGGAGGGTCATTTCTTTCACTATCTGTTCACCTTTCCCAGAATGAGTCTCCAAGGAATAGCCTTTTCTACCAATATACCTAAAGCATGAAGGTGACACATCACCATCTTTGCCTCCAAGGAGCATTCTGTCTGCACCTTACTAAAATATATTTGTACTCTTGTCAGTCAATGAGATATTGAGTAATGTTTTACAAAACCACACTTCAAAGGCACAATTTTTCATCTGTTATTCTTATTCATTGTCCCACATAACAATAGAGATAATTCCATCTACTGTCTAGATTCAATTCATATTTCTAAAGCACTCTAATTAACATCATTATCTAGTTAGAGAGCTCTGGTCGCCTAGTGGTATGATAACAAATGAAAAGTTTTAAGATGGAATACCACTGACATACTTCAACAAACAGATGTTGTGCTCATCAGGTTGTGCCAAGAAATCTGGAGGACTACTATCAGTCCAACTGACTGGAGGAGATCCATATATATTTCCATTCCAAGAAAAAGATGACCCAACAGAGCATGGAAGCTATCATACAATATCATTCATATCACACAAAAGCAAAATCCTGTTGAAGATTATACAGAAACTTCTGGA